CCCGGCTGGAATGGGCACGGGAGGAGGAGGAGGAGGATGGGGGGGTGAAGGCTCCGTTCCCCCCCTTTTTCCTCCTGTATTCCCACTGTTCCATAGGGTTAAAGTGTGCGGGGGGGGGGCGTTTTCCAGCAGCATCACCCCAATTGTTGGCACATCCCATAGGGAGCGGGTGATGGATGTGTGTGGACTGCAATGATCGTGGATGGATGGATATGGGGTGCGGGGGGGGGGTATTCCCATTGAGGAGCGGCTTTCCCAATGGTTTATGGTGGCGCTGGTGCTGGGTGATCCCAAAAGGAAGTTGGGTAAAAGGACCTGGGAAGAGGCTTGGGAAAAGGGATGCAGGGATAGGAGAAGGGGATGGGAGCCTGAAGTTGTTCCCTATGAGGGTGATGGGATCCCGGGATGGGATGAAGGGAGATGCTTGGGATGCTGGAGCATCCTGGTCCAGCGGGAGATGGCCCTGGATGGGCTGGAAGCTGCCTTCATCCCAACGCATCATTCCCATGGCTGGAATCCAGCGGGAAGCAGCGCTTCCTGTGCCCCTCATCCCGGGATGCTCCGAGCCGGCCTCGCCTGCGCCGCATCCATCCATGCATCCCTATGGAAGCTGGGATGGGGCCAGCGATCCCATCCATTGCCTCGGCTCTCCCAGTGGGATGCTCTCCCTGGAGCCCCGATCCCATTGGAATCCCTCCCGGCTGCTCCTTTGTCTCCCAGTTTTTCCCCTTGGGAAGCTGGGAAAAGCCCCCCCCCCCCCTTGGCTCTTTCCCCTTTGTTCCAAGCTGGATTTGGGGTCGGCATTCCTTAAATCCCGGCCTCACCTGCGCTGTTCCCAACAGCTTCCAATGGGGATGGGCGCAAGGAGGGCGCCGGTGCCCCGGGGCTGGCCCAGCCGCTTCTCCACAGGTGGGAATGGGTGGGAATCCCCTGGATGGGTGCTTATCCCATCGGGAATGCTGCTTGGGAATGGGAGACAGCCATTTTGTACGGAGACCTTGGCTCCTCGTCAAGCCGGGCTGGAGGAGGATCCCATGGGATGCTCGGGATGAGGAGCACATCCCTAGGGAAGCCGGGCTTCCCCTATGGCTGAGTGCATTGGGATGGGCCGTGGGGTACAGATGGGTTCCATGATCCCAACCTGATCCCGGTTGATCCCCATGATCCTGGATTCCACGCACCAAGGGAGCATCCGGGCTCGTTCCCTGGGATAGGAAGGGAACCGTTCCCAATCCCGGTATCCCGGCAGCTGAGTGATGCTGGTGCAGGATGCATCCGGTGGATCAGCATCCGGTGGGATCTGGTGGGATGCATCCGGTGGGATCAGCATCCAGTGGGATCAGCATCCGGTGGGATCAGCATCCGGTGGGATCCGGTGGGATGCATCCGGTGGGATCAGCATCCGGTGGGATCCGGTGGGATGCATCCGGTGGGATGAGCATCTGGTGGGATCAGTATCCGGTGGGATCCAGTGGGATGCATCCGGTGGGATCAGCGTCCGGTGGGATGCATCCGGTGGGATCAGCATCCGGTGGGATCCAGTGGGATGCATCCGGTGGGATCAGCATCCGGTGGGATCAGCTCCCCTCGTGCTTACAGGACCCAGTGGACGCCTTGGAAGAGCCCGTTGGGACCCACCGGCATCGCTGGCCTTGGGAAGAGGAGGGCTCCATCCTTTTCCAAGGCTTTGGAATGCTGCCGGAGGCGGCTCCATCCCGGTGGGGTCTGGCCCATGCCCACGCTCTGCATCCCATTCCCAACGGGAGCTTCCCTGCAGGCTCCATGGGGCTCCGCCTGTCCCTTTGGCCGCCGCACCCATGGGTGCACAGGGGCCCGATCCTGCAGCGTTCCCAGTGCTGCGGGGCTCATCCATTGGGATGAGTTGAAGCTGGACACTGGGAATGGGTGGCTCCAAGGGACGGGGTGCAGAAGGGAGAAGGCTCCTGCTTAGGGACCGGGATACAGGGACCGGGAGGGTTGGAGCTATGGGAATGGGGTTGGATGTGGGGATCTGCTCCCTCTTCCCATTGTTCTCCTTTAGCCTGGAATCAGCTCCAGAGGCAATTCCAGCCCGGATCCGCAGGGATACCCCGGGCTCTGCAGTTCACCTCTTTCCCAGTGGGATTTGCCTCCGTTTGACTGAATCCTTATGGATTAACTGTGGATCCTTAGGGAATGCCGCCTGCTGGAGGGGGTGATGGCCAGTTTGGGGTGCCCCCATGGCCTCCATGCTCCCCAGTGGGATCCCCGCAGCATCCGTCCCATGGCCGAGGGATTCCCTAATCCTGGAATGGTTGGGAAGCACCAAGTGGATCCCTTGGTGCTTGTTGGCTGAGCGGGATCCCAGTGGGATATCCCCTATCTGCATCCCAGTGCGGTGCTGCCTTCCCTATGGAATGCTGTGGGCTGCTCCCATCCACGCTGGACGGAAGTGATCCCTTCCCTTCCTAGCTCAGCACAGGGCTCATTCCCTAGGGATGAACCCGCTTCCCAATGGGAATAACCCATAGGGTCGGGTCTCCCTCTCCCATGCGCATCCCCTATCCCGCAGCCCCTTCCCTTACCCAGCTCCTTGACCCCACAGCATTCCTTAGGGCTGGAATAGCGGCGGTGCAGGAGGCTCCAGGCTTGCCCGTGCTTGTCCGGCTCCATTGGCCTGCGGCCGATGCGCACGTTCCCATAGGGAAAAGCCCATTGGGGCCGTGCCGAGGGGCTGGGATGGGGATTCCCTGCTTTTCCATAGGGATTTGCATGGGGTATCCTATGGGCAGCCCTTGGGAGGTGTCCGCAGCATCCTTGCAGTGATGCCCTTGGCTCCAGCTTCCCTGGAGCCCCTTTAGGAGCTGCCCCCTGTGTCCGACCCCGTGGCTCTTCCCCTGTTCCCAGCTGGAATTCCCTTGGCTCTTCCCGATGGATGCAGGGAGATGGAGCAGGGATGGAGGCCTCCATCCCGCTGCACACGGGGGGCGATGGAAGGGGATGGGCCTTGGGGAGCGCTTGGGGTGCTCCATCCGTGCCTCGGGTCCCCATCCAAAGGGGAAGGATCCATGGAACGAAGCCTTTGAGCTTCCCATCTCCCCTTGCCAATGGGCTTGGCACTGTGCTGGCCTCGGCTTGGCAGGCCCCGATGATCCCGAAGCATCCCAGAGGATCCCAAAGCATCCCAGAGCATCCCAAAGGATCCCAAAGGATCCCAAAGCATCCCAAAGGATCCCAGAGGATCCCAAAGCATCCCAGAGGACCCCAGAGCATCCCAAAGCATCCCAAAGGATCCCAGAGGATCCCAAAGCATCCCAAAGCATCTCAGAGGATCCCAAAGGATCCCAAAGCATCCCAAAGGATCCCAAAGGATCCCAGAGGATCCCAAAGCATCCCAAGCCCATTGGGTTGTGTGTTATTGCTCCCTATAGGCTTGTGCCTACCATTCCCAAGGGGATTTGGGATGCTGCAAGCCTGCAGCCGTTCCTTCTCCTTACTTTGGGAGCGGGGAAGCACTGGGGGGGGGTTGCTCCATTGCCTCCCATTGCCTCCCATTGCCTCCCATTGCCTCCCATTGCCTCCCATTGCCTCCCATTGCCTCCCATCGCCTCCCATCGCCTCCCATCCCCTTCCCATCGCCTCTCATTGCCTCCCATCCATTGCCTCCCATTGCCTCCCATCCGCTTCCCATCGCCTCCCATTGCCTCCCATCCATTGCCTCCCATTGCCTCCCATCGCCTCCCATCGCCTCCCATCCATCGCCTCCCATTGCCTCCCATTGCCTCCCATTGCCTCCCATTGCCTCCCATTGCCTCCCATTGCCTCCCATCGCCTCCCATCGCCTCCCATCGCCTCCCATCGCCTCCCATCGCCTCCCATTGCCTCCCATCCATCGCCTCCCATCACCTCCCATCGCCTCCCATTGCCTCCCATCGCCTCCCATTGCCTCCCATTGCCTCCCATCCATCGCCTCCCATCGCCTCCCATCCCCTCCCATTGCCTCCCATTGCCTCCCATCGCCTCCCATCGCCTCCCATTGCCTCCCATTGCCTCCCATTGCATCCCATCACCTCCCATCGCCTCCCATCCATCGCCTCCCATTGCCTCCCATCGCCTCCCATCGCCTCCCATCCCCTCCCATCCCCTCCCATTGCCTCCCATCCATCGCCTCCCATCGCCTCCCATCGCCTCCCATTGCCTCCCATTGCCTCCCATCGCCTCCCATTGCCTCCCATCGCCTCCCATTGCCTCCCATCCATCGCCTCCCATCCCCTCCCATCGCCTCCCATCGCCTCCCATCCCCTCCCATCGCCTCCCATTGCCTCCCATCGCCTCCCATTGCCTCCCATCCATCGCCTCCCATTGCCTCCCATTGCCTCCCATTGCCTCCCATCGCCTCCCATCGCCTCCCATTGCCTCCCATTGCCTCCCATCGCCTCCCATCCCCTTCCCATCCCCTCCCATTGCCTCCCATCGCCTCCCATTGCCTCCCATCGCCTCCCATCGCCTCCCATTGCCTCCCATTGCCTCCCATCGCCTCCCATCCCCTTCCCATCCCCTCCCATTGCCTCCCATCGCCTCCCATCCATCGCCTCCATCCCCTTCGCCTCCCCTCCATCGCCTCCCATCGCCTCCATCCCTCCCCATCGCCCTCCCATCGCCTCCCATCCATCGCCTCCCATCCCCTCCCATCGCCTCCCATTCCCATCCATCGCCTCCCATCGCCTCCCATCGCCTCCCATCGCCTCCCATTGCCTCCCATTGCCTCCCATTGCCTCCCATTGCCTCCCATTGCATCCCATCGCCTCCCATCGCCTCCCATCGCCTCCCATCGCCTCCCATCGCCTCCCATTGCCTCCCATTGCCTCCCATCGCCTCCCATTGCCTCCCATCGCCTCCCATCGCTTCCCATCCATCCCCTCCCATCGCCTCCCATCCCCTCCCATCGCCTCCCATCCCCTCCCATCCCCTCCCATTGCCTCCCATGGCCTCCCATTGCCTCCCAGTGACGGAGCCCTGTACCCCGCAGGATGGACAGGATGACGGAGGACGCTCTGCGCCTCAACCTGCTCAAGCGGAGCCTGGAGCAGGCCGAGGAGCGCGAGGACGCGCTGGCCAAGCGCCTGAAGGTGGAGGGGCACGAGGCCATGGAGCGCCTCAAGATGCTGGCCCTGCTCAAGAGGAAGGACCTCAGCGGCCTCGATGCCCCCCACGAGCCCCCCGGGAAGCCGGACACAGGGAAGGGCTACGAGGAGAAGCTCAATGGGAGCCTCCGGCCCCACGGCGAGGGCAGGACCGGGGGGAGGCCGGGCAAGGAGAACATCAATGAGGAGCCCGTGGATATGAGCGCCAGGAGGAGGTGGGTGCCCCACAATGGGGTTCATCAAATGGACCTTTTGGGGGGGGGGTCCCTTTGGTTGGGGACAGGAGGAGCAGAGCCTGCCTTTGGCTTATCCCAGCCTGCATCCCTATGGGTTTTGGGGCCGCTGCGTCCCTGTGTTGGGCATTGGAAGGTGCTTGGAGCACCCTGGGTCATGCTGGAGAGGTGCCTCCATCCCAGTTTAAAGGAGCTGCTGGGCAGTCCCATGCGCTCGGGATGGAGATGCTGGGTTCCAACTGGGATGGGGGACTGGAAGGGGAAGGGTCTCCAGGCTCCCTGTGGGTGCTGTCACTGTAGTGAATGGGAGACCCATTGGTGCCTTCTCTGCCACCCGTTGCCCTATGGAGCATCCTCCATCTGTGCTGTTGTTCCTTAGGGTGTCAGTGTCCTCCTGGGGGCACCTGGGTGCACCCAGCACCCTGTGGGCTCACCTGGGTCCTACTCTGAGGCCGCCATGGGGGTGTTGTTCCTATGGAAAGCAGGATTCTCCCCCAGAACCCAATGGGTGCCCCAGTGTGGGAGGCGCTCGGCCACTTGGCAAAGGGGGTTGAGACTCTGAGGTGCTGAATGTGGGAATGGTGGCTCTGGGTGTGAGATACTGCACATCCAGTTGGGTACCAGCACATCCAGTTGGGTACCAGTTCATCCAGTTGGATACTGCACATCCAGTTGGGTACCGGCACATCCAGTTGGGTACCAGTTCATCCAGTTGGGTACCAGTTCATCCAGTTGGGTACCGGCACATCCAGTTGGGTACCAGTTCATCCAGTTGGGTACCAGTTCATCCAGTTGGGTACCAGTTCATCCAGTTGGGTACCAGTTCATCCAGTTGGGTACCAGTTCATCCAGTTGGGTACCGGCACATCCAGTTGGGTACCAGTTCATCCAGTTGGGTACCAGTTCATCCAGTTGGGTACCAGTTCATCCAGTTGGGTACCAGTTCATCCAGTTGGGTACCAGTTCATCCAGTTGGGTACCGGCACATCCAGTTGGGTACCAGTTCATCCAGTTGGGTACCAGTTCATCCAGTTGGGTACCAGTTCATCCAGTTGGGTACCAGTTCATCCAGTTGGGTACCAGTTCATCCAGTTGGGTACCGGCACATCCAGTTGGGTACCAGTTCATCCAGTTGGGTACCAGTTCATCCAGTTGGGTACCAGTTCATCCAGTTGGGTACCAGTTCATCCAGTTGGGTACCAGCACATCCAGTTGGGTACCGGCACATCCAGTTGGGTACCGGCACATCCAGTTGGATACCGGCACATCCAGTTGGGTACCGGCACATCCAGTTGGGTACCGGCACATCCAGTTGGGTACCGGCACATCCAGTTGGGTACCAGCTCATGCAGTTGGATACCGGTGCATCCAGTTGGATACCGGTGCATCCAGTTGGATACCGGTGCATCCAGTTGGGTACCGGCTCATCCGGTTGGGTACCGGCACATCCGGTTGGATACCGGCACATCCGGTTGGATACCGGCACATCCAGTTGGATACCTGCACATCCAGTTGGGTACCGGCACATCCAGTTGGATACCGGCACATCCAGTTGGATACTGCACATCCAGTTGGGTACCGGCACATCCAGTTGGATACCGGCACATCCAGTTGGATACCGGTACATCCAGTTGGGTACCAGCACATCCAGTTGGATACCAGCACATCCAGTTGGATACCGGTACATCCAGTTGGGTACCAGCTCATCCAGTTGGGTACCAGCACATCCAGTTGGGTACCAGCCCATCCAGTTGGATACCGGCACATCCAGTTGGGTACCAGCCCATCCAGTTGGGTACCAGCCCATCCATCCCAGTGTGATCCTTTCTAACTCCAGGTATCCCTGAGCTGTATCCAGGGATGCTGGAGGAGGCCCCCCTGTGCTCAAGGCTCAGTTCCCCTCCATCCCTTTACCCCAAGAGCTTGGGGTGCTGTTCCTCAATGGAAGCACATCCCAAGGCTTGGGATTGCTTCCGGCAGGATCCCTGCGAGCAGGACGTGTCCATCCCATCCCGCAGCAGCTCTTCCCCTTGGAAAGCTAACTGGAACCCACTGGGATGCAGGATGGGGTGTGTGCATGGCATCACTGGGATGCTCTGGACCACGCCACAGAGAGCCTCAGCTGCTGGAGCTGCAGAGCGGGATGGGGGCTGGAATCCCTTGGGATCCTGCAGGAATGGGGTGCCTGGGTTCAGATGGTTCCTCCCTGTTGGTTTGGATGGGGTGGTTTTCCAGCTGGGAACCCCGTATGGATGGGGTTTGGAACGGATGAGCACTGGGATCCCATAGACCCGCCTCTAGTGCTTGGGAGATGAAGCCAGGGCCTTGGGAGCCAGATTCCCACTCTGAGCATCCCATTGCCAAGCCTGGAAGCTGTGGGTTTCCTCTTGGAAGCGACAAGCTTGGGATGGGATCATCCATGCATCTCCTGCATCCCAGAGCAGAGCCCCCCATCTGCCCCAGTGCTTCCCATTGGATTAGTGCCCAATTCCCAAGGTTTCCCAAGCATCCCCTTCCATTTGGAACAGCAGAAGGCTTTTATCAGTGCCTCCTGCAGAATGGGGTTTGCTTCCCACACCCTACCCTTATCCCGGGGCAGGAAACCCCATTGCAATCCCAGCTCTCCATGGGCACGGGGCACGGTGCTGAGCTCCAGTTCGCATCCATGGTGATGATGGGATGGGGGGGGTTATGGGATCTGCTCCCTATTCCCACCTTTCTCCTTCCCTGCCTCTTGGAAGCTAACAGCTCGGGATGGGATCATCCATGCATCTCCTGCATTCCAGAGCAGAGCCCCCCCATCTGCCCCAGTGCTTCCCATTGGATTAGTGCCCAATTCCCAAGGTTTCCCAAGCATCCCCTTCCATTTGGAACAGCAGAAGGCTTTTATCAGTGCCTCCTTCAGAATGGGGTTTGCTTCCCACACCCTACCCCTATCCCAGGGCAGGAAACCCCATTGCAATCCCAGCTCTCCATGGGCACAGAGCATGGTGCTGAGCTCCAGTTCGCATCCATGGTGATGATGGGATGGGGGGGGTTATGGGATCCGCTCCCTATTCCCACCTTCCTCCTCCCTTACCCCGCAGTGAGCAGGACAGGGGCCGCTTGACCCCATCCCCGGACATCATCGTCCTGTCCGACAACGAGGCCTCCAGCCCTCGCTCCAGCTCCCGCATGGAGGAGCGCCTCAAGGCAGCCAACCTGGAGATGTTCAAGGTAGGGAAGCGCCGCCTTTTCCCTATGGATGCTCCAGCACGGAGCCGCTCCATTGATGGGATAGGACCGGGACCACCTTTGGGGCATCCCCATCGCTGCTGGTCCAATGGGGGACCGCGTCCTCGCGCGCTGTCCCCGCTGCCAGGAGCGGGGTTTGGGGCTCATTTGGGGTGTCCCCATAGGGGAAGAGCCTGGAGGAGCGGCAGCAGCTCATCAAGCAGCTCCGGGACGAGCTGCGCCTCGAGGAGGCCAGGCTGGTGCTGCTCAAGAAGCTGAGGCAAAGCCAGCTCCAGAAGGAGAACGTGGTGCAGAAGGTGAAGCCCCCACCCCATGGGGCTGCATGAGGGCAAAGGGGGCTCGCTCCGGGCATGGGGTTCCAGCCCTCATGGGGTTCCTTTGCTCCCCATCCAGACCCCCGTGGTCCAGAACGCGGCCTCCATTGTCCAGCCCTCCCCTGCCCATGGGGGACAGCAGGGACTGTCCAAGCTCCCCTCCAGGCCTGGAGCTCAGGGGGTTGAGCCTCAGAACCTAAGGACATTACAGGTGAGAGTTCCCAGTGTCCCTTCCCTAGGGAGGTGCTGGCTCCAAGGGGGTCTCATCCAATGGGAATCATGGAATCATCCCCCTTTTCCTGCCCCTCCATCCCTTCTCCAAGGCCCCTTCCCAGGTTTCCTGGAGCCTCCTCGTCTCCAGGCTGAGCCATCCCCATGGATGTGCATGGGGATGGGCAGAGGCCGGTCCAGCTGATGCCCTGGCTCGTGTGGTGTGGGAAGAGCTGGCTTTGGATGGCTCACATTTGGGAATGCCGCTTCTGGGGCTCTTCATGGGGTTTTGGGGTGCTCCGAGTGTTCCGTGAGCTCCGGGAGCGGGTTTTATCCCTTCCGTGGGTCCATTTCTTGCCTCCACATTGGAATGGGGATGCGGGATGCGGGATGCGGGATGCGGGATGAGGGATGCAGCGCATCCCCTGCCTCCTGCTCCTCAGCCGCCCTGCTCCTTCCTTCCCTCCCTCCCAGCATTCCCCATTCCCTTTGTTTGGGATATGTGTTTGCTTCCCTATGGCAAGGAGCCGGGATCAGGCCCATTATGGGATGGAGCTGCTGAAGGAAGCTCCTTGCTTGCCCTGGCTTTGGGAGCCTTTCCTTTGGGATGCAGCATCCCGGGAGCGGATGAAGGGCACGGGGAGGAAGGGGGTGTCATGATGGGATGGAGCTGTCGGAGCTCTCTGTTCCCATTGGATCCATTGGGAGAAGCCTCTGCTCTGGGGCATCCTGATCCTGGGGTGATGGTTGGGAATGCCTGGGATCGAGGGGTGGAACAGGCCCCTGCATCCCTGCACCAACGTTCTCTGGGAGCAGCCCTCTTAGGACCATTCCATGGGTGTGGAACAGCTCCCTGCTCCTCAATCCCATTTTCCCTTGTGTTTCTCCCTATGGATTAACCCAGCATCACAGAAGCATGGGATTGGATTGATGGGAGCTTAAAGCCCACCCATCCCCAACCCCTTCCTGTAGTCCGGGTTGCTCCAACCCCATCCAGCCATGGGATAAGCCAAGGATGTGGGTCTTGGAAACAGCTCCCAGCCCATCCCATCCCATCCCACATCCTGGAGGTCCCTGGCTCATGGGAACCGGTTCCTCCATGAGGTTCCCACCCGTTCCCTTGGCTCGGAGAGCAGGGATATGTGAGCACGAGGCTTTGCCCCTGGGGGTAATGGGGGAGAGGGGAGCCCCGGAGCAGCATTCCCGGGACTTGCTGAGCAATGGGAATGCCCACAGGGTCACAGCGTCATCCGCTCGGCCAGCACCACCACCCTGCCCCACATGCTCATGTCCCAGCGCGTCATCGCCCCCAGTCCTGCCCAGCTCCAGGGCCAGAGGGGGCCCCCCAAACCCGGCCTCATCCGGACCACGACGCCCAGCATGAATCCAGCCATCAACTACCAGCCGGTGAGGGCCCGTCCGTCCCTTCCAGTGGGAATGGGGTCCCTTGGGGATGGGGACAGGGACCGTTGGTCGGTGGGGAGGACGCAGGGGGATGCGTGGCAAGTGGGAGGGGTGGATGGGGTTGAAATGAGGGGGGATCGTGGAATGGGTTGGGGTGGAAAGGATGGGGTTGATGTGATAGGGAATGCTGGAGTGAATTGGGTTGGAAAGGATGGGGTTGAAATGAGGGGGAATCATGGAATGGATTGGGTTGGAAAGGATGGCCTTGTTGTGATAGGGATTATGGAATGGGTTGGGTTGGAAAGGATGGGGTTGATGTTATAGGGAATCATGGAATGGATTGAATTGCAAAGGATGGGCTTGAAATGAGGGGGAATCCTGGAATGGGTTGGTTTGGAAAGGATGGGCTTGATGTGATGGGGGATCATGGAATGGGTTGGGGTGGAAAGGATGGGCTTGACCTGATAGGGAATCATGGAATGGATTGGGATGGAAAGGATGGGGTTGATGTGATGGGGGATCATGGAATGGGTTGGGATGGCAAGGATGGGATTGACCTGATAGGGAATCATGGAATGCACTGGATTGGAAAGGATGGGATTGAAATGATGGGGAATTGTGGAATGAGTTGGGTTGGAAAGGATGGGCTTGATGTGATAGGGATCATGGAATGGATTGGGTTGGAAAGGATGGGGTTGATGTTATAGGGAATCATGGAATGGGTTGGGGTGGAAAGGATGGGCTTGAAATGAGGGGGAATCATGGAATGGGTTGGGTTGCAGAGGATGGGCTTGTGATGGGGGATCATGGAATGGGTTGGGTTGGAAAGGATGGGATTGTGATGGGGAATCATGGAATGGGTTGGAAAGGATGGGGCTGACCTGATAGGGAATCATGGAATGGATTGGATTGGAAAGGATGGGGTTGATGTTATAGGGAATCCTGGAATGGGTTGGGTTGGAAAGGATGGGCTTGACCTGATGGGGAATCATGGAACGGGTTGGGATGGAAAGGATGGGGTTGATGTTATAGGGAATCATGGAATGGATGCATGGCAAGTGGAAGGGATGGATGGGCTTGAAATGAGGGGGAATCCTGGAATGGGTTGGGTTGGACAGGGTGCGTTTGAACTGATGGGGAGTCCTGGAACGGGTTGTGATGGACAGGATCCTCGAGCTCACCCCACCCCGTTACCCAATCCCCTCTCCATGCGATCGTAGGCACTGGGGGATGCTCTCAGGATGAGCCTGGGGCTCCGATCCCCCCAATCCCCGCGCTCCAACCCTGGGGACCGGGGTCACCCTCCCTGTGCTACTCCCAACCCTCCCACGGGGGACGAGCGCATTGACCCCAATGGCCTGGGAGGGGGCACCCTCAATGCACGGTGCCCACGCTCCATGCAAGGAGCCCTGCTCCAGGCAGGGGATTCCGGATCCATTGGGGGCTGTTCCCAAGGGCCCCCCCTGACCCCCCCCGTTCCTCCGCAGCCATCCAGCTCCTCGGTGCCGTGCCAGCGCAGCTCCTCCTCGGCCATCTACATGAACCTCGCCTCCCACCTCCCGCCGGGCTCCGTGGCCAGGGTCTCCTCTCCCCTCCCCAGCCCCAGCGCCTTGTCCGACGCCGCCAACTCCCAGGCCGCAGCCAAGCTGGCCCTAAGGAAGCAGCTGGAAAAGACCCTGCTGGAGATCCCCCCCCCCAAGCCCCCCGCTCCCCTCCTGCACTTCCTGCCCAGCGCCGCCAACAGCGAGTTCATCTACATGGTGGGGCTGGAGGAGGTGGTGCAGAGCGTCATCGACAGCCAAGGTGAGCGCCCCCCTGTCCCCATCACCTCCCATTCCCTATGGATGGGATGGGAGAAGCCCCAAATGGGATCCCCCTCCTTGGCTGCTTGCAATGGGGCCTCTCCATCCCCAAGCAGTAGGAGCCAAGGTGAGCACCCTGGTGTCCCCCCCTCACCTCCCATTCCCTATGGATGGGATGGGAGAAGCCCCAAATGGGATCCCCCTCCTCCTTGGCTCCTTGCAATGGGGCCTCTCCATCCCCAAGCAGTAGGAGCAGGAGGGAGACCCCCCCCTCACCTCCCATTCCCTATGGATGGGATGGGAGAAGCCCCAAATGGGATCCCCCTCCTTGGCTGCTTGCAATGGGGCCTCTCCATCCCCAAGCAGTAGGAGCCAAGGTGAGCACCCCCCCATCACCTCCCATTCCCTATGGATGGGATGGGAGAAGCCCCAAATGGGATCCCCCTCCTTGGCTGCTTGCAATGGGGCCTCTCCATCCCCAAGCAGTAGGAGCCAAGGTGAGCACCCCCCCCTCACCTCCCATTCCCTATGGATGGGATGGGAGAAGCCCCAAATGGGATCCCCCTCCTTGGCTGCTTGCAATGGGGCGTCTCTATCCCTAAGCAGTAGGAGCCAAGGTGAGCGCCCCCCCCTCACCTCCCATTCCCTATGGATGGGATGGGAGAAGCCCCAAATGGGATCCCCCCCCTCCTTGGCTGCTTGCAATGGGGCCTCTCCATCCCCAAGCAGTAGGAGCCAACCTGGTGTCCCCCCCGTCACCTCCCATTCCCTATGGATGGGATGGGAGAAGCCCCAAATGGGATCCCCCTCCTTGGCTGCTTGCAATGGGGCCTCTCCAACCCCAGGCAGTAGGAGCCAAGGTGAGCACCCCCATCACCTCCCATTCCCTATGGATGGGATGGGAGAAGCCCCAAATGGGATCCCCCTCCTTGGCTGCTTGCAATGGGGCCTCTCCATCCCCAAGCAGTAGGAGCCAAGGTGAGCGCCCCCCCCTCACCTCCCATTCCCTATGGATGGGATGGGAGAAGCCCCAAATGGGATCCCCCTCCTTGGCTGCTTGCAATGGGGCCTCTCCATCCCCAAGCAGTAGGAGCCAAGGTGAGCACCCCCCCCTTAACCTCCCATTCCCTATGGATGGGATGGGAGAAGCCCCAAATGGGATCCCCCTCCTTGGCTGCTTGCAATGGGGCCTCTCCATCCCCAAGCAGTAGGAGCCAAGGTGAGCGCCCCCCCCTCACCTTCCATTCCCTATGGATGGGATGGGAGAAGCCCCAAATGGGATCCCCCTCCTTGGCTGCTTGCAATGGGCCCTCTCCATCCCCAAGCAGTAGGAGCTGGATCGATGGCCTCGCTGTGCCAAGGTCCTGGAATAGCTTTGGGATTGCTCTGGAACAGTGGGGTCTGTGCCCTGGGGCTTGGCAATGGAGTCCCCAGCCCTTTCCTAGAGGATGGGGTGCTCCCGTCCCCATGGGATTGTGGTGGTGGCTCCGGTCCCTTTGGGATGCCCCCTTGGAGGTGGATGGGGTGGAGGCAGTGGAGCCCTATGGGACTGTGACTGTTGCTAAGCCCAGCAGCATCAGGCTGAGGCCAAGCCTTGTCCTGTCCCTTGGGATAGGCGGGATGCTCGGAGCGGGATGGAGGCATCACCATACTGCAAAGCCCTGCGCTGAATCCCAGTCCTGATGGGTAAAGGTGAGGAAGAGGAGGGAAGGAGGATGCAGTGACTGGGAAGCAGATGCCCTGTACCGGTCCATACTGAGAGGCACGGGACTGGCTGTGGGATGTGCAGTGTTACCTGCAATGTGTTTCCCAGGCAGTATTTAGGTGTCTCTCCCATCCCTCCTCTGCACTTTGCTGGCAGCCTGCTGTGAGTCTGTAGCTCTGGTTTAAAGCTATTTGCTTTCTCTGAGGCTCTGGGGACTTCCCAGGACTTTTATTCACCCATCAGTCACTGGCTGGAGAATAAAACCTTACAGCCACAACCAAAGGTCAAAAGAAGTTCCCTGTTCAAAGTCCTCTCCTCAGCAGGAGCTAAATACAGCCTCAAACTCCACTGCCAAGCATGATGTCTCTCCAAGGCTCTGTTTCCATGGCTGGAGCTCACCTCTGAGCAAAGCAGAGGCCGAAACCTGGGCTAAGGACAGCAGATACAGACTGGAAAATCCATGACCACAAATTCTGTGTCCCAGAGGAACAGCCACACAAATTTCTTTATGTTTCTCCAACCCATTAATCTTCCACCCAGTAATATAACGCTTAATGCTGTTAGCAGCGGACAGGTAAAGGAGGAGGTTCAAGGCTTATTGGTTTAAATAGTCCAAGTAGTTTCCAACTTCTTGGGTAATTCATTATAGCCCAACAGAGCCAGTTACTGATGGCAAAACCAGGACATGCCTATAAGAAAATGACCCCCTTATTTGAGCCCCTGGCTCCCCAGATAGCCCCAATTTCCACTGAAACCCAAACTCCCCCGGGTGACTTCCCTGAGTCTCTTCCAAAGCCTCAAGGAAGGGGGAGTTTCTGAGGTTAAAAGGGAAGGATGGGGACAGCACACACATCAAGGTGATCGCAGTGCAGAGAAGACAGGGCTGATGCTGTGCATAGGTCCCCCTTGTCTAGAAGCTGCCTTCGCCACCCTACATTTTCTCTGCAGTTTTAATGTTCTGCTTCAGCCTTTGGATTGCATTAAAATATTAATGCTAACGGGTTATTATAATTTTAGATTCCAATTTTTAATATTCTAATACAATCAAAAGCCCAAATGAAATCTTTCAACATTCCTCGGTGAAACGATTATGTGCAATTGAAACAAAACAATCCACCAGAGCCAGGAAAATGTTTTCCTGGGGTTTTCTCACCCTGGGTAATTTACCCAATGTCATTCATTTGTTCTGATGGAAAAACAGCCCAATATTAGGAATTCTATGGGGCTGTGCATTCGGGTGTCTCAAATTGAACCAAACACCCCTAAATGGGGCTCAAGTTTGACCTTTTCCCTACCAGGCGTGTAAAGAACAGGGTAGGTATTAAGTGGAGAGTTCTGGGCAGGCATAAAGGCTACGATGCTGCAGTGAAGACCCCCCCATTGCTCTGCTCTGTGAGTGGAGGTGACCAGGGGAGCACCTCTCTAAGTGTGCTCATAGCCCTCTGGTCCTAACGCTTCCATGGTCCCCACTGGGTGCTATGTGCTTGTGGTACCCTCCCTGTTTTCTGGCATGAGAAAGCTGCTAACGCTTCCAAACTATGTTTCAATTTAAGGGAGATTAAGAGCAAAATTCTAGTGGGACTAATAGTGTGTAATCTTCTTTCCATTCCTCCTCTTGCTTTATGAAGAGCAGTGCACTGCAATGGCGCATTTCACACTCCAAGGCTGATATTTCAATTTCCTGCTTAAGTTACAATGAAAACTGCCCACACTGCTGATGCTCCCATGAAGAATAATTTATGTTGATTGACGTCCTTTAATTCCCTTTGGATGCAGCTCATGATTAAGAGATGCCAGGAAATGTAAAAGCATGTCCTACCTGCGGACTCCTCTAAGCTCCTCTGGAAGGCTTTGAAAAGCTTCCAGGTTCAAGCACAAAACACTGCTATTGATCTTTAAGCACCTTCCTTGTCGTCCCTGTCTTCCTCCCCTGCTTCTTCCCTACCCTACAGGAAGATGGAATGAAATTACTGAGCTCAATCCCAGCCTTGGGAATTGAGCTCATGGCAGCAGAATGATGCTGGGAGGACACTGACCCTCCTGCAGGTCATGGCAGGGCAGCTGCCTGCCCCCTGCCTGCCTTCCTGAATGGGTTTTTAGGACACCCAACAGCTTCATGAGGCTGAAAAGCCCGTGACTGGGGTTTGCTTTGGTTTTGGGGACTGCTGAGACACATTTCAAGACACTGATGGGCAGCTGCATCCTCATGTGGCTCACTAGAATGACCAAGTTAGGCGTCAGTAGAAGGGAGCAGAAGCCCTGAGCCTTGGGCATCAGCAGCTCTGCAGGGATACGCCTTGGAGTCTTCCCCCATGCACCCAATTCTGCTTCAGCTGCTGGGGCAAACTGCTGCAGAGGAAATGCTACAGAATGGGGTGTCTGGGGGTGAAATCTGGCTGCAAACCTGCTCTAAACCAGTCCC